CTTAATTATGGATGATAAAATACATTTCACAGTTTTAATCAGTTTTAAGAGCCTACAAAAATAACTGTATATAATAAATACCGATAATTAAACACGCTTGAAGGCTTATTCTAAAGCAACAAGATGGACGCCAATTTCTTCACCCACGATGGTTTCAGGATCGCATCTTGAAAAATCCCACTGCAAATCACCCCCCATAGAATATACTAATAAAATTTTACAAACTAAAGTTAAATTGGACAGAGAATCGAATAATTACAAGAATATTACGTTTAAATGCGTGGTGAACGCTATCAAATAATGTGGCTACTTACCGCTATATATTCAAACACGATCGGCAGTAGCAAAACACGATCAAATGCTTTCAGACCACGAGGAATGTGAAAGTCAAACCAATTTGCTTTGACTTGGGCTATATATAGCTCGTCGGAATCCCCGAGGTTTCCCGAATGTGTATAACGAATCATCATCGTGAAAAAATTCACCGACAACTTACGGACATTTGTTATGGGTAGCAACCCAGCCCGTTCCGTTTCCGGAAGTGCCCGATCGATCGAGACCTGGCCGCATTGCAGTTACGGAGTGGAGAAGAGGGAACGAAACAAATGATGTAATTAGTGTGTGTTGGCGATAGAAAGCGTGCAGTTAGGGGTAGGGTTAGGTTTGGGTGCAGTGCACTGCTGTCATCATAGGTTTAGGGTTTGGGTTAGGGTTGGGTGCAGTGCACTGCTGTCATCATAGGGTTAGGGTGTGGGTTAGGGTAACACATGTAACGTCGAGTACTTACCCATAATGACGGCCGCTATATCTGATAATTTTGATAGAGGAGTTGCAAATAATGGCCGACAATGTGTGGCGGTGGCGCCAGTGGAATTCTTCCACAGGTGTCCCATCCACGGCCACTAAGTCTTGCGTCGCAAGAACGCGGTCGCTAATTTGAGTCGCAGCGCGTGGTCTGCCAGCCATGTCGACCTCACTTTGTTGTTTTATTCGTTCCTTCTCCATTCTGTAATTGCAATGCGGCCAGGGGACTGAACTTCGGCGTGCTCCCCAATATGTGGTCGTAGTTGCAAGAGAGCCAAATAATCACATAACTACACTCACACTGGAACTTCATGGTGTGTCATTTATTATATTTATTGGCTCTCCTCCGAACTTCGTCCTAATATTATGGGGACATTAAAATATCCCTGCGGGGCTCAGGTGTATGTAAAATGCGGACTTTCTGCCAAGGAACAAATCGCGGCAAAACTAGGATTACTTGACAATTTCAAGAGACGCAACATTGCAGATGATAGTAGCAGACGATAAAAGCGACCGTTGACAATTTCCAGCGTTTCTGCAGACGAATACTAGCAGACGATAATAGCGACTATTGACAATTTTGAGACATTACAGACGATGAAAGCGATATGGCGGATAGACCACGCGCTCCCATGCAGATTAGCAATACTGTTCGTCCGATTGAGGATTTAGCAGCGGTAAATGTCAGACCTACCGACCTGTGTCTTCACACTTTCGGCATGCGCAAAACGCGATTAAAGTTTAATTTAAACTCACCGCCAAGCGTATCCCCCCGCGCCCTGCATAGCGGCTCTGATGGGGGGCTAAACTAGGTGCCTGGGACTCACGGGCAAATTAATTGGAGGAAGTTGCAGGAGATGTGGTATCTGCTGCTCGTGAGTCAAAACAATCTAGCTTAACCCACATACGAGCCGCGCGTAGCGGCGCGTGAGATACGGTCGGCGGTGAGGCACAGTCACAGAAACAGGTCCGCAAGTAACATATCGCTGAGACACTGTTAGAGCATTTGTTTCGTTATACGGAGCCGGCATATTTTTAATAGAACTGAGCCCCGTAAGGATATTTTATGGCCACCATAATATTAGCACAAAGTTCGGAGGAGAGCCTATTCATTTAATATTCTTGACTGTCTTGACTGTAAACTATTTCAAATAAGCCGTGATTAGGTTAGGATTAGTGATCATGTTTGTTGTGTAATAATAATAAACTAATGTTTTCACTAGTTGTAATTAAAAAATTACGATAATACATAACTGTTAACATAATATTAATATATTTAATAAGTCCTGATTTGTTGTATTTGACTATTTTGACCACTTCTAGACTTTGGTGCAGCTAATTTAAAAAAAAAAACTATTGGATTTACAGGTAATTATAGGCATAGGACTGGGTGTCTTCTGTTGACTGTTGGTGTCTGAACATTGTTACCTGGTGCTTGAATTTTAATTTATTTAGCTTTATCTGACTGTTCTTCATTATATTCAAAAGCCTGTTTTTTTTTTAAAACTAATTTTTGCTTACTGCCTAATAATTGTTTTTAGTTGGCACTCTTCTGCCTTTCCATATGATAATGTATAATAATTAATATAGCAGTATAGCCACTATAAATTAAAGAGTATAAGGAGGTATTGAAATCATAGCCCATGACAGTGGGTGTGACTAGCAAGACCTGCTTTGATTAAGAAGTCTTCCAAAGTTAGAACATGGGATTTCAACACAATTGTTGCCATCACATTATTTATTTAATGTGATTCTCTGTAATCTCAAGACGCTCAATCGCTCATTCCCCTAATCTCTCAGATATCTGCAGTAATTTTCATTTTGATACCTATTACCTTCCTTATTTTCCTCCTTTTATTTTTGCGACACAGTTCCTGGTATCCAGTTCTCATGAATCCACCGAATCCTAATTTCCTGTTAGATCCCATGTTCTGCTTGCTCACATCGTTATACTTCATATCGTAGCAAACACCGACCTACTCATTTGTCCATCTAATTTTTCTTCTGCCTTTCTATCCCCCAACTGAGCATAGGCCCTCAACCAACTCACGCCAAGTCGTTCTATCCTTCGCCATTGCATGGAGCTCTCCCCATGTCCTCCCAATCTTTCTAACCTCATTCTCCAGCTCTCTTCTCCATGTGTTTTTTGGCCTTCCTTTATTCCTATGCCCCTATGGGTTCCAATGCAAAGACATTCTAGTTATGCTGTTCTCCTGTTTTCTCAGTGTGTGCCCTATCCAATGCCAGCGTCTTTTCCTCACCTCCTGATCCACTGGAGCCTGTTTAGTTCTCTCCCAAAGTTCTACATTAGTTATTCTATCATACCATTTTATTTATTTACTCATTTGTCCATCTAGTTCACCAGAAAGTATGTCCTTAGCTTTGAGACTTTTCTGTCCTCTATATGTCTGCTAGCCATCTGAACCTTTAAGAGCCTGGGCATTGAGAAAGCTTGCGTTGTCTGCTTTTTCCAATACCTCAATGTTTGTGAACCTGTCTTGCCACTTAATGCCAAAGTATTCTTCTTAAGCATCACAAGTGAAAGCTATTTAGCTATATCTTCTTTAGTTTTGTCTGCCTATGATTCATGGCATTTGTCGCGTGCGGATGTGCACTAGAACGCACCAGTACTGAGTGAGCAAATAGGACGTCAAAAAATATGTCAGGTTGTGAAGGAATTGTATTCTAGGAGATGAAAGTTGAAGTTTGACCAAGGCGAATGTGTGGTCCGGCCTTGGTGTGGATCCTTGAGGATGCTTTACCCCGGGATGCCACGGAAGGAATGATAAACAAGTTGGATCCTTGAGGATGCTTTACCCTGGGATGCCATGGTAAGAGTTGATGTTTACAGTCCGAAGAAGAGGGACGTGTGGATCCTTGAGGACGCTTTACCCCGGGATTCCACGGAATCAGACGTATAAAGTTGGATCCTTGAGGACGTTTTACCATGGGACTCCAATATAGACCTCAGCAGAAAGCTGGTATATTTGTCACAGTTCAGCAGTAAGCCGGTATACTTACATTAACTTATTCAGACTGCGGAACAGAAAACAGAGATGACTGTCTGGATCTCAAGGTCAAACTGCGACCTGTCGTAAGAACATATCAGTCCATAGATGTACGAGCGGGCTTTTGTTGATGAGTTGAATGAGTCTGGATTATTAATTGCATATTTTCTCATTGCTATTGTCAATACACAAATGGAACCTTTTAAAAAGAGTTCTCGTTCCGCTACGTTTGGAAGCTTCAACATTCATCATGTTGTGTTACTCTTGGCCAGTGGCATATTAAGTTGTTGATGCCATTTGTTACATTGCGACGCCCTTATTCACCTTTGGTATGCCGCACATCACCACGCAGCCTTTACAGCACGTCACACTGTACGCCAAGCTTTCGCTCATCGCAGCATTGATAATCGGTAGTGAAGTGATAACCACTGTGATGATGGATACTAGGCAGTTATTTAAATACCCTGATCACTTATGGGCACCAGTTCTGTCAAATTTGTTTTGCAGTCATTGGGTCATATGATAAAATATAGAAGACCAGCAGTATGTGCATGTGTCTTTCATTATTACGCAAACCTTGAAAAATGTGTAGGCATGTCAAAGATGCTCATAGAGTCAGTGAAGTCATCAGGGCAGATTTATGTTTTCAAATGAGAACAGTAATCAGTAATGTAGCGCAAGTGATCAGTGGGTCTCATGTGCATTGATATCGCGTGCAGTAAAACATCAGTACGCGCCCACAGGAACATGAAATACTATTTGGGACTAGTGCTACAAGTTGACTGTGGAGATATTTTAGATATGCAATCGGAATTTTCCAGGGGAGGTTAATGACCATACAATTCTTGTTTATCTGCCGAGCTAAATGGATCACTAACGCAAACGTCTACTGTGTTTCTTTGAAAGAAAAATACATGCTTACTTCGATGAAAGATATTTAGAGTATCCTATATCTCGCCCCCTCCCCACCTTTTTTCCAAGATACTGACTTTCTTCATGTCTGATCATTGGTGGGGGGGGGGGGGCATGGTAATATTTATTATTTTTAATGTAAAAGAAACACATTTTGGCCTGATAGTTTAGAGGGGTAAAGGAAATGGAGTGTATAGTCCTGATAGAAGAGGCAGTGGTTGACCAGAATGGCAGTATAAACATGATATCAAGGACTATGTGTGCATAAAGGTTCACAAGGCTGGAAAGTTAACAAAGACGGAGTCTTTTTTCTGGCATGCTGAAATGGGAGTAGAGTTCTGCTACATGTTGATAATGGTGAATTAGCATTGTAGAAATGTAGCTACAATGTATACAGAGGTGTCTTTATTATTAGGCATGTTGTTAGTCGGTTAAAGTAACGTTAAATCTCCCCACGCTCCGCCCATGTACACAATAGCTCACTTCTGATTGATAATTCCGGAACATATCACCTTGGCACAAGGTTACGTGGGTTTTCTGCAATGTTGATATTGCTTTTTGTATATTTCAGCATGGCAGCGCTTTTAACACTCCAAAAACTTGGAGAAACTGGCTGCAACCTACTTAACAGGCATTCTCTTTCTCAGAATGAAAACGCAAATGCAAGACAAGACAGAAAGCAAATAACAGAGCGGGACACAGCCGTAACCTTAGGAAAGTCGACCAATCCAAGAAACTTGTGAATAAAACGTGACCTACTTTGTTTATGGAGATTTACGTAAACCTAACCTGTTACTCTTGTTTATAGATTTATTGTTGTGTTTAATGTTTAGAGACCAGCTAAAACGCCACTACAATTTGAAGCAATACTGGCTTGAGGTGGACCTTGATGATGTCAGTAGCTATGATGAAAGTCTTGCTGAGAAATTACTAAAACAGCCATCAGAACATCTGCCACTTGTAAGTACTTTACCTTGTTGCTGGCACCTGTCTTTCTAAAAAAAAAGTTAGTTGCGTATCTTTTACAGGATGTTGCAGAACCAACTCCAACAGCCCCTGGCTGTTATGTGGTTTTTCTAGGTAAATTTACATCCAGTAGTTTGCCATTGCTTTCTGGATGGTCGGCTTTCTTGATACCTCTGTCGAAACCAACGCAAGGCGCATGGCCCGCAGCTGGGATCGATCCCGGCATTACAAAGTGTTCGCATCGACTTAGCCACAGAGCCAACTGTCTTTCTAAACAGTTGTATAAAGTGCTAAAGAAAGGCATGGTAATCCCAGCCTGTGGCAATGGCGGGTCTGCCTAACAGTACAAGTTCAAATTGAGAAATCTTCCATGTGTACTAGATTTCAGGACTATTGTTTACATGATTCTCCTCAAATGCTTACTTAGTTGCTTCTCCTAGCTTGGGGTATAAAGGCTTTCCAGAGAGATCACCAGACTTCTCCGTCAGCAGTTTTCCTTATGGCTTTGTTCCATTTGAGTCCTCTATCAGTCAGGGACTGTCAGATGTTGTCTTCCAAGATATGGACACTGGGTTGCCCTGGAGGTCTGAATCCCTGGTTCCTAGCCTGCCCTGGTGGCCAGTTTTCTCCAGTTCTTCATTCATGTCCAAACCATCGTAACTAACTAATCCACTAGAGTTTGCAAGGCCTGGGTTTCAAGATCTTGAAGTATTGTCTGATATCTCATTTCTGAGGCCTGAAGCTGACTTCTGTGAGCTGTTATCATTGCCTGTTACTCACACTCTAGGTCACGACTGGCACATAAGTAGGATGGCAAACATCCATTTGTATCCTCTTGCTAATTTCTCTTTTGCTGAGAAATCCTCTGTTTATGGCCTGGAAAAGTCTCCAAGCAGCTGCTTTTAGAGTAGCTAGCTCTGTCTTAATGGCTCCATTTCGGTCTAATACAACTCCAGGGTATTTGAACTGGTTGACCTGCTCCAATGTATCCTGTCTCATCATTATCTAGTGTTTCTTCTCCTCGTAGGATCACTTTGGTTTTTGAGATTCTGATGGTCATACCTCTCTTCTCAAGTCTTCCTTCAGGTCGGATTGAAGATTGTCTGTGATTTAGCAATCATGGCCACATCATCTACAAATGCAGATCTGATATACAGCTTGGTCTCATTTTCCAATACCCTACTAAGTACTTCTTTGTCTTCTCTCCTTACATGATGACATCATCCGTCAAAAGAATGAAGTAAGGTGAGAGAATATCACCTTGTCTAATACCGCCAGTGGTCTTAAATTCTTCTGACTTTTGGTCTGCTGTTCTTAGTTTCTACAGCTTTTCAAATGCTCAGCTCCTTATATATCTGCAATTTTTTCTCATTTTCCTAATTCTTTTTCTGATCTTTTCTTCTCACTGTAACATAGTTCCCTGCATCTTGTTCTGGAAAAGAATCGTCTGATTATTTGTCCTGGTTGTACACATCTTCATATTATTGTAAAGGCTGATGACCCATACATCTTCTACCAATCTCTTATTCATCATATAGGTTCTCCTTAAAAACTCTACAATCCTCTATCATATATAACATATGTACATATGATTTTGCACGATAGCCTTGCAGAAGTGGCTCTAGTAAAATAAGAGGTTCACAGAGGAAAGGGAGAACTAGATAGAAAGAACAAAAAAGAGAGAAATTGAATTATTGGTTATTTTATAAACGATCATGCAATCAGTTCAGCGGTACATCTAGCTTTTTTCATATTATAAACTGGTCTCAAGAGACTTCAGTGTTGTAGTTTCAGTAAGTGAAAATCATAACTGTCAGTTACCTCGGGGCTTAGATAAAATGACCAAATACAAGATTTAGCATCTGTGTTAACTAAAGGCAAAGACATTTATTGTTAAAAATGACCTTTTTTCAAGCTAGAAGAAAAATATGCATTATTTCTTCATTTAAGGTACTGTTTGATTTTTCTCTGAATATTACTATTGAACATTTTTTTTTTTCAGTTTGTACCTGAAAGCTTAGAAAAATTCCAGCAAATAAGGTAGAATAATGTAAAAAGCAAAGTAGCGGTGGTGTGGTAGCTGTACGCTTATCTAATGGCCCAGAGTTCTTGAGTTTGAATCTGCATCGAGGCAAATTGGTTCTTCAGAAATGACCTTGGCTTTTAGGTTGACGTATAAAATGAGCACCGGGTATATTGCTGCAAAGTCACGATGGCTTGCATGATATATACCACATAAGTCACAGAGTTTCCGCTATAAAAATATGAGTAGGGTCATTTGCACGAAGTGTTCACTTGCATAAAAAAACCACCATTAAAAAACATTTCTTCCTTAAATGTCATATAGCTAGCTTGTTAGTTCTAAAAAACTGCTGTAAACTGCAATTAAACACTGATTATAAACTGCAATTAAACCACCATTAAACAAAACATTTCACATTACTTGCTAGGAAATGTCATAATATTCTCTTCTGTATGAATTGATTTCAGTTCTAAAAACTGATGATAAACTGCAATTAAACCACCATTAAAAAACATTTCACATTACTTGCTAGGAAATGTCATAATATTCTCTTCTGTATGAATTGATTTCAGTTCTAAAAACTGATGATAAACTGCAATTAAACCACCATCAAACAAAACATTTCACATTCCTTGCTAGGAAATGTCATAATATTCTCTTCTGTTTGAATTGATTTCAGTTTGAGGATGCAGCTAAGGAGGTTGCAGATGAAATTACACGACCTAGACCTGAAGGGGAAGAGGATGTCGAGGACATTCAGGTTATGCTGAATTCTGCGTCCAATGCTTGTGGAATTCGTGAGCTGAAGGTATTGTTATGGTTTCTTCTCAGTTTATAATATTGATGGGGGAAATGGTATTATGAAACTGACTCGAAACATGATTTAGGTTATTTAAATAATACACAGAGCATTGCACAATTTCAGCCTTTTAATTTTTAGCTGGTACATTCTGCCTTTCCAGATGATAATGTATAGTATAGCAGTATAGCCACTATAGAAGTATAAAGAGGTAAGGAAAACCTTGCCTATGTCAGTGAGTATGACTAGCAAGACCTGTAGGAGAGAGTGATTTATGTGTTCCATAGGAAAAAGATTAATTTTTGTGTGCTTCTTTAGATCTTATAAAATGTGTAAATTCAGTTGTTATCACTGTTTAAATGTAATGCAACTAATGATGAATTATTGTTTTAATAAATATTTTTAATTGATTCACCCATTTCATTAGCATCATTTATAGTCCTCAAGCTCTGTTACTGCAATTAAACATGTTTTGTTTTTTTTACTTCAGATGAATTAATAACAATAGATTTATACAATGCCATGTATTTTTTCCAATTACTTTTCAAGTCAGACCAAATGTCAAGACTGGTAAAGATCCCTGGCATTGTGATTGTGGCCTCTGCCATCAGATCCAAAGCAATTCGCCTGGCCATTCAGTGCCGCAGCTGTTCTAATGTCATTAACAACATTCAAGTGAAACCAGGGCTTGAAGGTTACACCTTACCGAGGAAATGCAACACGTAAATATGATTTATTCTTTTAGATTCTGTTTATAGTTTGTTTTAATTTCAATAATTTTTCAAATTTAAGAGCATTTTTTATTCGCTCAGAACCATTAAAAATTATATGTAAAGACATCAAATAAAATTTGGTTTCTGTGAAGGCATACATTAAAACAAGGAGACATAAATCATGAGGTAGACCAAGAACATAATGGAAAGATAACAGAGAAACTCTACAACAGCATGTGTCTATGGTCAGGGCGGCCAAAAGAGCAAGAAACCGAACATTCTGTCGCCCTCAACACCTGAAGCTGTTAAGGGTTTTATTTCTTTCAAACAACCTGCCCCACCTCCCACACACACATTTATCTACACTGCCCTAAAAGTAGTACATACAGGACGTAATGAGTTACCACAGTTTTATTCTAAGACCGGGATTGAAGTCAGGGTTTCTTAGACACATATTACAAATATATGCACTGCAAGAAAATCACAAATAACTTCAAAAGGCTAATGAAAGTGGATTTTTTTATTTTACTATAAAAAATATACATTATTGTGATGAAAAGAGAGGCTTTATAAAACATCACAGCTATAAAAAAAAAGGAAAGGTGCAGGTCGGGATAACAACTGAATGGTCTAATATCTAAAATCAAGATTGATCGAAAACATCAAAGACAGAGATCAGTGAAGATATGTTAACACCATCATCATTTTAGCAATGTATGTTTAAATATTGTTCTCTCTCTCTCTCTCTCTCTCTCTCTGTTTCTCTCTTCCCCCCCCCCCTTTCAGTGTTTATGCTTGTTGGGAGGGGAGCACTGGGGTGTAGCGGTTAGACACTCACATGTCATGGGTTCGATTCCGAACGGAGCCGGACTTTTTCTTCAAAAAAGCTCCTAAGCTTGGCTCCCAGGTCTACCTAGCCTTGAATGGGTAGCGCGTTAAATCCTGGGAAGTAAAGGTGGCTGTCATGATGTTTAACCCACTACTCACATGGTGCTGATTTGTCTATTAAATATAGGTCCAACACAATATGCGTGAACAATTTCCTGACAAGATCATGTAATAAAAGTATTTTACAAACAACCTCACTGCATTGAAAAAATTGTGTAATAGTCACATTTTGGTTCTTACAGAGAGCAGGCTGGCAGACCAAAATGCCCAGTAGACCCTTTCTTCATTGTTCCAGACAAGTGTCGCTGTGTGGATTTCCAGACGTTGAAACTACAAGAAGCTCCTGAAGATGTCCCAAATGGTGAACTGCCTAGACATCTTCAGCTGTATTGTGATAGGTAAATCATTTTTGACAATAAGGAGACAATAAGGAATACTGATCACACCTAAGTCTGCGGTCAGAGTAGGTCATCTTTACATGTGATTATTCAAAATTATGAATTTAAATTAGAAGTAGAATTAGCAAACTTCTCAATAGCACCATCACAAACAATAAAACATTGCAGCTAGGAAACTTGAAGCATAACTAAAAGAGATGAAGCCTTATTACAAGTTTTCGAAAACAGTCTTACGACAAATCTTTGGACCCATCAAAGATGCAAACAGCGGTGAATGAAGAGTGAGAAGCAACAACGAAATTTATAATCTGTTTAAATCACCACTGATCACTGGCATCATAAGAGCTAATAGACTGAATTGGTCTGGGCATATTGAAAGAATGTCAGATGACAGAGAAGTAAAAACTATACGCTAGGGAGATGAATGGTTGTAGACCACAAGGGAACCAAGAAGACGATGGAGAGACAATATCCAGACAGACCTGCAAACACTTGGTGTTACCAACTGGAAAGAGAAGGCCAACCAGAGAGATGAATGGAGGCGGGTAATATCTGCAGCAATGAACCTCAAGGGCTCGGAATGCTGAAGAAGAAGAAGAAGCTAGAGTCTTTATTGGCATGCAACACGAATGGACACTACAATTCAAAACAAGAATACATAAAATCACTTGGCATAAAGATAAAGCCTGTCAATACATTCTTGCATTTTCCGTTATTATCTCATTCCTGATTTTATCTCTTTGGGTCAGCGATTAGTTTGTACTTCCTCGTGCATTCATTTGTTATTGCGGGAGCAACCCGTCGTTACATCAACCAGAACAGAATGGGAGTTATTAACCTAAAACACATACTCAGGAGGAGATTAGAGCACTCATCATATGCGATAAAGATGATCTCAAAAAATTAACAACAGGGTTCGTAGTGGACCGGGAAATCGGGAAATTACCGGGATTTTTTTCGTTGACCTTGAACCTTGATTTTTAGCTTATAAAAGACATTCCGACCTTGAAAAGCCGTGAATTTTGACCGCGGCAATGAAATCATCAGAAATCCTGTGTTTTTCAGCACAGGCAATTTTGGGGGAGCCATTTGGCTTTTTTGGCCATTTGGCTAGTTTTTGGCTACTTTCGTTGTATGGTCGTTTCAGGTGTGAGGGCAGCTGATTATTGGCTATTTTCAGCCGGAATGGCTTGTTAAAGGCCAGGGGAGGGCGGGCTGTGTTGCAGATCATGAATACATGCAGTCAGCAGCGGTGTGGCATGGGGCGGGAAGTAGCAGATTCCGTCTCGCGCGCGTGTGTGTGTGCCTTTGTTTCTAGCGAGTCGGGCAAAATGAACAGTATAAATCGTTTATGGCCGTGGTTTCTAGAAAGGATTACATTGGGAGATGGTGGGGCTCGGTTCAGTTGTATTTATAAATAGAGTCGCCGTGGTGGGAGCTAAGCACGGCCTTCTCTATTAATTAGAGATGGCATTGGGGTTAAGCAAAGTGACTGCAGCTGGATTTCCCAGTTCTATTTTTGGCCTGGATTTATCTTTACAGTGTGTTTGGCGATCAGTATTGTAATTCCCCGAGATTCCCTCTTTTGTTGTCTCACCCCTCTCTCTCTCTTCCCTCCCTCTTTCACTCTTCTACCTATTGCTCCTTCCTTCCCGTCTCCTGCATTGTATCTAACCCTCCCTTCTGATCTTCATCTTCTTCTCTTTCTCTCTATCTTTCCTTTTACTCTCTCATTTCCTGTCCCCCCTCCCCCTTTTTCCTATTTTATTTCTTGTTTAAATGTTTAGTAAATGTGCGGCTCCATAACTCTTCCTAGCAACTCAAGTACACAGGAAGTTGTATTGGGGGGGGGGGGGGGGAACCATTCTGTGTCAACATGGTGGATATTTTCTTTTGATGTGTTTTCCTAGCGGCCTTAATCTCTGTCCATCTCCCTTCCCGCCCCCTCACATTTTGTCCTACCTGTTCCTCACTCTCTGCCTGTCTGTGTCACTGCTTTCCTCTCTCTCTCTTTCTCTTTGTATTTGCCACTCTCCCTCACTCCCTCCCTCTCTCTCTCTTTCTTTCTCCATACCTTCAGTTGGTGTAGAAGGTTATGTGCTGCCTAGTGCAGAACATTTCATGTCCACCATTCCCCCCTCCCACACATTAAATATATGTGTACTTTTAAAAACACATTTGCCGTCACCCCCCCCCCCCCCCTTTTTATCCTCCCACATTGATGACACCTAGGGAAGGGAGTGCACCCCTTCCTGCTACCTTCTTTCCTCTATATCTCATCTTATTTCTTACTCCCTTTCTCTCCCTGTCTCATTCCCACTTTATTTTCTCAAACTTTATTCTCTCACCTCCTCTGTCTCACCCTTACCACCTCAGCCTTTTACACCACTTTCCACCACCCCCTCTCTCCCCTCCTTTCTTTAATTGGAAAACCAGAAATAAAACGAAGTCCACTGCTGCCCTGACCTATTTATCTGTCTGACCTATTTATGTGTGTGTGGGTAAACTTCTCTATTTTCCACCAGTGGTGGGTTGGGATGCCCTGAACTTTTTTTTTCTTTATAAAATGACCTTGGCTCTCAGGTCACCAGCCTTAAGTGTAAGAAATTGAATTATTGTTGTCACACACAGATAGGACAAGCAAGGGGCAGTAGGGGTTAGCACTGTTGTTTTTGGACCACGACCACATTCACATTGGGAGAGGGTAGGAACCTGAAAAGTGGCCTCACTTAGAGATTTCCTAATTCTATTTTTGGCACTCATTGTTCTTACCCCCCCACCCCCACAACAGTGTCTTACCTTTCTTCTCTCACCCCTTCTCTTTCCTTTGATCTTCTACTATTCTCCTTTCTCTCTCCATTCTTCCTCTCTTCCTTTCCTTGCCCTTTCTCCTGTCCCATCTCTTCTTTGTCTCCTCTCCATCCTGTCTTTTCATTTTCTCTAGATTTCCTTACCCGCTCCCCTCTCTCATTCTCTCCCCCCCCCCCTCCCCATTTTTTTTACTGGTTCATCTACGTATTTATTTGCCCCATAACTATCTTTTCCTAGTGGTTGTGTCCACTACACTTGAAATTGTGTGGGGGGGGGGGGGGGGGAGTAGGCTGTTTTTTTTTCTTTGATGTATCTTGTCTCCCTTCCTGCCCCTCTCTCTTAATCTGTGTTTGTCACTGCCTTCCTTACCCACCTCTATCTCTCTCTCTCTCTCTCTCTCTCTTGCTTTATGTCTGTTTGCCTCCCTTCATCACTTCCTCTTTGTATACCTCCTCCCATTCTCCTGCTCTGCCTTTTTTCTCTTTCTTTGGTTCTCTCCCTCTGTCTGCTTGCCTCTCTGTGCTGTCCCTTTGTCTCTCTCTCCTTTATGTCTACATCTCTCTCTGCTTGCATCTGCTTCTCACCCTGTCCATTCTCTCTCCCTCTGTCTCCCTTCTTTCAACTCTTTGTCATTTTTTCCTCCTTCCATATCTCTGTTTCGTTCCCTTTTTCCTTCTCTTTTCATCTGCCGATCTCTGTATCTGCATTCCCTCTTTCTGTATTTGTCTCCCTCTCTGTCTTTCGCTGTCCCTTCCCCACTTTTCCTCATCATGTCTCCATCCCTCCCTCTCATTTTTTCCTCCTTCCCCAGACTTCTTTTCCTTCTTTTCTCTACCTTCATCTGTCCATCTTTACACTGTCTCTCCCAGCCTACCTCAGCATGTGTCTTCCTCTCTCTTCATGACTCTCTCTCTCCCCCTAACCCTCTCAGGTACCAGGTCCAGAACAGACAGGACTTCAGTTTGCTGCCCTCTACCACCAAGCCTTAAAAAAAATTTCAAACACTATGTCAAGCTCAGGGGCCGACCAACACGAAGATGGGCACAGGATATAAGTGACTCGTTGAGTATAAAAAAGTACATGAGGCGGGAGAGCTGGTGAGAGACCGAGGTTTTTTTGTCAGGACAAAGGAAATGCTACATGATGATGATATATGTGCTGGTATACCAACACATGTGGCACAAATGAAGTACCTTGTGTGCTCAGTACACCCTTGAACAAGGCACAAATCTTGTTTCAGTATTACACCGAGACAACCTTGAAAAAAACTAAGGAGACCTTGAAAAAGACCTTGAAAAGCCTTGAAATTGATTGGTAAATTTGGCTATGAACCCTGTAACAATAATTTATTATTAAGTGCTTTATTATTAGTAATCACTTGTCTCCGATTCTTGGCTAGTGGGGTTGAATATGAAGCAGTTTTCTTATTCAGGTATCTGCAGCTCCAGACCAGATCTGTGATCATGATTTTTGTTTTCTTTTTCTTTTGATATTATTATCAAACTGGGTCTTGATTATAGTATTATTCAATTTGCAGGGTACCAGGAACCTCTTTTGGTAGTGGTGGTGATATGACACAAGCTAGTTTGGTTCGGGCACATAATGAGACAGGATTTGATTACAAAAGGGTGGGGGGAGGTGTCAGTAAGAACCTGGAATGACGTCAAGAAATGGACAGGACTAAATTAATATACACTTGTTCAACAAGCAGAAGACAGTGATAGATACAGGATTTTATACTAGTGCTTCCGTTGATACACCTCTATGATCCTGATTGGTCAAGAGTTATGTTGTGTTATTTGTTGCCCAGCTGTTGATGCTGTCAGCATGCATGTGTGCATATTGGATTTCACTTGTATACTGTTTACATACTTAGCGCAGAATGCACTGATTTGTAACTGTACTTCATAAAGATAACATTTATCAAATCTATATTTGCTTGTGGCTCTTCCTCAGATATTTATGTGACAGAGTAGTGCCTGGGAACAGGGTTACTATAATGGGAATATACTCCATTAAGAAAGCAACTAAACCCTCAAAAGTAGGTAACCTGTATGTAAATTTGAGTTACAAATAAATTTGTCAGTGTACTTGTAACAAAGTCAGTGTCTGCGGCTTGGACGTTGCGAACACACTTTATGATGCTGGGTTGTCGAGTTCGATCCCAGCTGCGGACGGTTTGTCTCGCATTGGTTTTCACAGTGGTACTGAGATTTGACCGTTCAGCCCTAAAAAAATATGCTGGGGTTGGTTCTGCAATATCTTGTAAAGGATACGCAACTAGTTTTTTAAAACTTGTAACAAAAACTTTCTGTTTTGTTGTAGTTTTGAGTATGCTGACATAAATCTTAAAAATTGTAAGCACATCAGAAAACAGGCAAGTGATGGAATATTAGAATGTTAAAACCACAGTGCACTGGCAAAAGCCATACATTTGCGTTCATTCCTTCTTATAATAACATTTAACCCTGCTGCTCAGAAAAGCCACAGAACTGACACTTCTTGTTGGATCCAATTTCTCATAAATGCCACTATTCTGACTTTTCCACAGTGCTGTGCTTACGAGATGCATAGTTAATGTTGTCGGCTGAGTTCATACCTGCGCAAAATTTTAAGAGATCAATCAGGATACGAATATATTAGCTAGAACTAGCATTATTTAGGGGCAGGGCTGCCTGTGATGGGTTTTTACTCCCAGATCTGGGTTTTTATTTGGCACCTTGGGTTTGGATTATGGAATCTCCTTTTTTTCTCCAACAAAATATATCCTTATATACAAGTGAGTAAATGTTTCATTTCGTAACTATAAAATTTATACTTTTTATAAATCTTGGGTTTTTGTTTATTGTTCTTTGCTTCTGTATTGTTGGTTTTTTGGGGGCCAGCTCAGCTTGGGATTTGATAAAAAATCTCATCGGCAGCCCAGTTTAGAGGTGTTTTTCTATGAACGAAGTAGTAGTTTTAAGGCCATGTTTTCAAATTTTCCTGTAAGCTGTAGTGATAGAGGTCACTGCATGAAACACCCCAAAATATTGTTTAGGCCTTGGGAATATATTCCATTTTATCTTTCGCTCTGTTCATGCTTATTGAATACTCCTTTTATATATCTTTATATACACTACCACCTAATTTGGATAAACACATTAAACAAAAATTTATTAATGATCTGGGTTTTAAAAAATGTTATTTTCAAAGGGATTTTTTGATAATCTCTGTGGGGTCATGGCCAATTTTTGTTTGTTCAAGTGATCCAGCGGTGACGGTTGCAGATTAGCTTAACAGTTCCGAAGTTATACAAATAAACCTCAGTGCTTAATCTAAGTTGTTTAACCCTCAGAGAAATGCAAAGGACAAGGTCAATGTCGGCATCAGACAGCCTTACTTCCGTATTGTTGGGGTCAAAGTTGACACGGAAGGAGCTGGGAGGTCGGTGCCCACACTGACTGCAGCAGAAGAAGATGATTTCAGGCGGCTGGCGGCTTCTCCCAACATCTATGAAACCCTGGCCAAGAGCATTGCTCCGTCTATTTATGGCAGCGTTGATATGAAAAAGGCCATAGCTTGTCTGCTGTTTGGTGGTTCCAGAAAGAGGTTTGTGTTTTCCATGTGATTTTTGGGTTTTAATATAAGAACAAAACTTGAAATATTAAGCACTGATGTTGCTTTTTAAACAAGTAAAAGACCTTGTCTTGCTGTAAATTGTTTTGGGTACTAGTTCCATATATTTTAATCCTGTCAGATGAAATCGCTAATGCATCAGTACCACACCAGCCGCCTTTACTGCCCAGAAATATTCCTTCTGCTAATTTAAGGAAGGGTCAACTTAGACCTTTTTTCCCCAGCACCTTCAGGCTTATTGAGCATATAGTGCTAGGTCTATATTTTATAGACCAATTATCACTCAGTGGGTGATGTCACCAGCTTCACATCAGCCGTCTTTACTTCCCACATTTTTTTTGGGGGGGGGGGAGGTTGGGTTTTGAGGGGATTCGAACCCATGACCTTCTGGTCAACGGGTGAGCATTTAGCCACTACACCATGGCAGGTGCATTTAAAAACATATCCCTTGTTTTAATTTATGGAGTGGGTTATGTTTTGAGCACTTGTCTCATTAAGTTTTCCACAAATAGGAAGACTATTCGTACTATGTCTATGGTGACTTTTCACAGGATCACACCGGCCAGTCCAGTCAACTGGACATTGCTGATCTATCCGTTGATGTTAATTCCCCCTCCCCCCTGTGTATGGAAACCTATTAGACACCACATAAATCTTATACTTGTGGCGGAAGTATTTTCAATATTTTGATTTCAGAGACCATAAATTATATATTTATTCTTATCTACATGCCTATATAAAATTGTGTATTTAAATGTCCAGATTGCCAGATGGTTTGACCAGAAGAGGAGACATTAATCTTCTCTTGCTTGGTGATCCTGGCACAGCTAAATCACAGTTACTGAAATTTGTTGAAAGATGTTCACCTATTGGAGTAAGTAAAGATCTGTATTCGGTATCATTAGGATTAAGCAAAAAGAATAAACACATTCACTTGCTCCCTCACTTTCACTATTTCTGCTGCCTGAATTTGTAAAGATTTGTAAAAGTAATAGATTCAGACAGAAATTTGTACAGATTTGTGCAAGTAATAGATTGAGACGGAATATGCAATACTTTCTTGAATTATGTTTGAATTGCAAAGTCTAATACATTGATCTCTAATTTGGTGGGGGGGGGGGGGGGGGGGGGGGGAGGTGGGGTTGCAATTTTGAAATTGGGGGCCTTTGTATTTGTAAAATCTGTTACAGTATTTTTTTTTCTCTGTTTATATTAATAAAAATCTTTCTCCAAAAGTTCTTCACCTATTGCTTTTACATTTTTACACAACGTTATTTTTGACTGCGCATGTTTTTATGTAAGAGTGTCAACAAAGCACGAACTACATAGCTACAGCAATGATCACATCAGTTTTTGTTTTGTTGCCGGCCCAGAATTATTTTTAGTTCTACTGGTGGGCGACCTTTGACTGTTGACCTCTGACCTCTGCATGAAGCGCTCAAAGGTCTTTACCAATTACTTACAAAATTTCACACAACGTTGCATTCGAATACACACATGTTTTAAGAGTGTTACACAAGACCTGAACTACATAGCTCCAGTGACGACCACATTGGCCTCTTAGTTTTGTTTTCTGACGATCCGATTAATTTTTTTTTTTTTTTGCCACGTTCACAACGCAAGTTGTTCCTTGCGCTGATAGGCGACCTCTGACTGTTGGCCTCAGAAATCTGCATGAAGCTGGTCTTTATGGTATCAGAGAGTTATTGAAAGAGTGTATGCAAATGTTAAGATGTGGGCATTTCTTTAGTGAGGGAGAGAGAAGTAGTCGGTGCATAAAGGGGTTGAAGACAGAAACTGTTAACCGAGAAAGCTTAAAGATCATTTTTGTCTGGGTGGACACAGATAACCAAGGTCAATTATAAATTGTCAGGTGATGAATTTCAAATCCTTCGGAGAGGGAGAAATAAGTAGTTCGGGGAAGGGGGGGGGGGGAGACTGAGAGAGCTCAAAACATTGTTTTAATTGAACTGAAAACATGATTTTAAAATACTTATTTAAAAAAATTATTTATATTTAAATAACGCTTCCTCAGCTGTTTTCATGTTTTTAAAAAACTTTTTTCAGTTTAAAGGCAATTTTAAAATACACTATTAAGCTTTACTTTCTGCTGCGAAAAAAAAAAAAACTTTAGCATGTGGTACACACAAAAAACATTATTATTAAGTCCTAATAATACAGTTTCGACCACCACTACTATAAAGACACTTTTATGCTGCGTGTTCAGTCCGACAATCAGACTATCTCATTATCTGCGCAAACAATTGTGATATTAACCATATTAGACATTTGCGCATACTATACCCCCACCCCCCTCTATTTCGCCAGACTGAGTCACAGCAAAGCGGGGTGGGTACTGCTAGTTATAAATAAAATAATAACAGGATTTCAAAAACTATTTATAAAACAAAAAGCCAAGGGAACTTTTGGTTTTCGTAAGCAGTTTGTGTATCTACAGTTAAAAGTCTCATTAATATGATAACACAGATATTTATAGATTAAGAAAACATTCTGACCAAAGCGTATCTCCATAATGTTTGTTTCCCTTGATGCAGAATCTATTGTATTCTTTTTAATCAGATTTTGTCAATGGGTTGGGGGGGGGGGGGGGTCTCTTGCCATATATATTCTGGGATGGGTGGTGACCCATATACTCTGGGTTTGGGGGGGGGGGGGTCTCTTGCCATATATATTCTGGGATGGGTGGTGACCCATATACTCTGGGTTTGGGGGGGGGGGGGTCTCTTGCCATATATATTCTGGGATGGGTGGTGCGCCATATACTCTGGGATTGGGGGGGGGGGGGTTGGGTCTTGTCATACACTCATAGGTGGCGCGGGGTCTGGCATAGAAAACTAAAAACTCCCCTACCAAGACAAGGTGGATGCTGCTATGGCATAATTACACAGACATGCACACACACACTTATTTCTTTTGAGCAGATTACATATGCATCTTGTTTTACTTAGGTCTATACATCTGGAAAAGGAAGCAGTGCTGCTGGTTTGACAGCTTCAGTGATGAGAGATCCCTCAACTGTAAGTATCATGTCAAAGAAATATTAGTTGACATTATTGATGAAAGTCTAGATGTTAAATTCCCCATGGCTCACAGTGTCGGTACTGATTAAGAATCATCGTAGCATAGCCAACATACCCGTAAATGCTCCGCATCAAGTTTGAAGAACGGATCAACAGCATGGCACACGGACAGTAACCCATAAGTGCTCCTTTCTTCTTCTAACTCAAGTCTGAGTCCGAAGAAGCTCAGCACAGTACACCGGCGAGGACCCTGAAATACTTTGGGTAGATTTGTGACTCCAAATTTTACCCGGGCAGCGCTGTTAGGCTACTTTTTTCGATTTCAAACTGCCAATGAGTTTTTTTTTTTACGTGCGGAATAGTGCACATGAGCGTCCGATCTCACTACCCAGAGATCAGTGGAAGTACTAGAAGAAGGCCAAGTCCCTCTGAAAAAATCCCTGCCCTTACCGGGAATTGAACCTGGAACCTCTAGCACTCGAGGCGGACACCACGCAGATCCCGCATCTAAAGGTTCAAAAAGTAGGTGCTAACGGTTCCTGCGGGGGGTTGCAATAAATTGCTGCACGGGGCGTCATACACCCTGAGTACAACGATCTTAAAGCAATAAAATGAGAAAGAGATTATAAGAACAATAATCGCCAAGGCAAAACAAAATGATTTTAAAAAAACGGTGGTTGACTGCAGATAATACAGAATTCAGTCTTATCTCTAATGACCACAAAATGAGATATGAAAATTTGGCAGAAGTAAAGACACAGAATAATAAGTCAAGATTCTGAGAAACAAAGAACGAGACTGCAGAAATGAAGAAAAAAAAGGTCCAGATGATGGGGGAAAAAAACGGCAGGCCAGAAAGTAGGAAACACTTTTAAGTGGAGATTAAACATTTTGTTACAGATGCAAATGTTATTTAAGAAAAGCATTTTAGTACTTTCATTGCAGATGCTCAGCCTGTTAGATCCCCTTTCACTAAAACACATAAATTACTAATCTGTTATAGTTTGAAATCACTTTAAAGCTACATTGTATTTGTACATTTTTTTTTAAGCGTGGATTTGTAATGGAAGGAGGTGCCATGGTGTTGGCAGATGGTGGTGTGGTTTGCATTGACGAGTTCGACAAGATGAGAGAAGACGATCGAGTTGCAATACACGAAGCTATGGAACAGCAAACCATTTCTATTGCCAAAGTAAGTGGCAACCTGTAGATGTCAGCTCATGATCGCTACTGATTTGTAGTTATATGTGCGTTGTTTTCATGTTTGTAAATATTAATTTAATTGTCAAAATGAAATGTTGTCTCAAGTTACTGTATATTAATTTATGAAATCATCATTTGGTTGGTGACCTGGCATGATATTCTTGCATTTCCACATCTTATGATCTCAAACAGCATGTATCAATTCATATTTTATCCAACCTGTAAAACAGGCATGTCACTGAGGGCCATATATGTTGTCATGAGGGCCACACACTACCAATAAACTGAATTCATTTAATTATTTGCAGAATATTTTTTATTGCTGGCTGCAATTGTAATTTGAGTAAATGATTATTTTTGGTCTGAACTATTGTTTATTGTGATATTAGGGAATTGGTCCCCGACTGTGTCATCGGTATTGATACTCTTTGTTAGCTTGTGGAAAGGGGGGGGGGGGCAGAGCATATGGGAATGTCTTATGGACAGGGTGTCAATTCTTACATCGCAACTGATCCCCACATGGGTTCTGGGACCCCATTGTGGGGAAAACAAGAATAGACCCACTGCCTCCCCAACAAGCTAGTCGTAGGAGTCGACTAATTGGGGGCTTCCTTCAGAGTCGTACATCTGCCTGAGAGGCAAGGAACCAAGAAGCTGCATACAAATAAGCCAGATTTGTGAAACAGATTTGCACTCAGGTTCTGAAAGAAGACTAAAATCCGGAGGTGGACAAACACCCAGAACTTTCTACTGGAGCTTACAGCCAGTGAATGGGAAGAAGAATATCACGACTGAACCTTGAAGATTAAGCCTTACCAATCAGCTAGCCCTCTCTTTGACTAATTTAGTTATTTCCTGTGTTAAGGTCAAGAATGAATTTATTCAGTACAAAAATAATATATATAATACATAAAGTTGTCTAGAAAAATAATCTAATATAAGTTACTGATTATTATTCATCCTTATTACAGGCAGGAATCACGACCACCTTGAACTCGCGCTGCTCTGTTCTTGCTGCAGCCAACTCTGTCTTCGGTCGTTGGGATGACACAAAAGGTGGAGAGAATATTGATTTCATGCCCACCATTTTGTCTAGGTTTGATATGATATTCATTGTGAAGGATGAACACGACGAGGCTCGGGACATGGTGAGTTTTATTGTAGATTTGTGGTTTCTTTCTTCTTTTAATAGCCCATGCCATGTGTTGGTAATCATATCTGAACGTAGCATTCTATCTTGTGTATAGGCAGTTCATTTCCGATTTAGCTGTTTTTCAACGATATTATGCCAGACTCCTGTTACATTTTTTTTCTTTGTCTCCCACTGCCTGTCTTTCCCTTCAACTTTCCCGGTTTTTCCTTTTTTGCAATGTGTCCAAAGAATAATGTAGATTGTCTTATTCTGATGCGGATAATCGGTTTTCCTCCCCCCCAAGACATCCTCTTAAACTTTAAAAAACAATTATGTCCTCAGTGTTTTCAACCTTCTACACAATTTTGTAAGTATGATGATATGATCCAACCTGAAAAAGTTGTATATTTATCCTTTGCAGGACCTTTAAACATCCTAACATGTAAGGTCCATGGCAACAGCACTAGCCGCGTGGCCCTAATAAGTGGCACATACAGACATTAATGGCAGAGACAGTTCAACTATTACCTGTAACTTTAGCAGCAATGTTTAACTATTGTCTGTAGCTTTGGCATCAATGTTCAGCTGTTGTATAACATTAGCAGTAAATTTCACAAACTGTCTTAACTTTAACAGCAGTGTTTACCATCTTATCTGTAACTTTAGCAGCAATGTTTATCAATTTTAGCACCAACTGTTTCCTGTTAAATGATTTCAGACTCTAGCCAAGCATGTGATGAATGTTCACTTGAATGCTATGCAAACAACAGAAGAAGTGCAGGAAGGGGAAGTCCCAATTAATATTCTGAAGAAATACATTGCATTTTGCAGAAGGTAGGTGGATTGCACGCATTTTTAGTGCTGTATGGATATGTCAGTGTTATTACAAAATGTAGCCTAGTTTTCTGAAGCTTGTATGTGTTTATTGACTTGCAGCAATAGCCTACTGACTCTGAAAAGTTTGCTCTCAGTTATGTTTTGCTTTTGCAAATTCCCCATTTCTGGACTCGGAGTCTAAAGGTTCTGTTGCCCAGCTAATAAGTTGGAGTGCTTATTGTGATAATGTGAGCTGTAGATTTCCTTTGAGTTTTTTGTTGTTGTTGTTGTCCTGCGGCCATTTTCTTGGGAGCACCAAAATGGTGAGTGGCCGACTACGTTCAAAATGGCATATACTTTTTAAGCTGCAGTGCTGGCTTTCTTGATTGATTGTTTGCACCAGCAGTGAAATGCAATTCTGGTGTATGACCGTTAGTGTTGGCACATCTGACAGCTGCCTTGTGCATTTTTACTTTGTATCTGCAGGCTGTAATAAGATTTTGCTGGAACTGACAAGTTTTTCACTAGTTTTCAAACGGGACAATGGAGGTCTTTGTGTGTGATTTCTGCTGTCAAAATAACTGAGCAGTTATACGGTGGTGACTCATTTTCAGGGGTGTTGATATCTCATCTAGCTTGTGGGAGGGGGGGGGGGCCTTGCCTGAACTGCAGGTTACCTTTAATTTTAAAAAAAATGGCTACATTCTCTGAAATGTAGCTAGTTTGTGTGTTACAATATTTTTGTTTTCATGGTGGGAGCAAAGCATTTTTGTTTGTTATTTTTAAAGTTCATCATTTTGAAATTCTTGAGTTGAAAAAGTGAATTATTTCAATTGACTGAGCTGCACAGTAATTAAGGACAGCTTTTTTAATCTCAAAGTAAATAACTCAAATTTCATCAAATTCCTGACTTGTATTCTTGGAGTTTTAAAGTTAATATAGTGCTTTCGCCATATTTTTAAACCATTCAGCGGTCATTGTCATAATAGACACCTTTACTTTCTTGAAGTTTCCTTATGGCTTAGGCTTTGGTTGACCTGGAAATCCCACCTAAATGGGAAGCGAACAATGTGACCACTAGGTGGGCAGTATGCCTGTCAGTGAACTACTGCATCCGTCCTGGACATAAACTGTTCACATTTGTTCTGTATTATAATTGTTATAGCATATCTTGAGCACGTCAGTTCATGTATGGTTTCATTTGTAAAAAAAATCACTGATGTTGCATCCATAAATGCTTCAGTCTCCTTCAACATAGAATACAATCTGAATTGACATCACAGCACTCGTGACACTCCTATAAGTGCTTAGTCCCCATCTTTAGCAGCAATCTCAGAATATAAATGTGTATACAAGAATAGGAATTGGTCTCCATTTCTCATTTTCCATAACTTCTCTATTCTTTCTGTCACTCACCCTTTTCTCTGTCTGTCCTTCTCTTTCTATATCCTTTCTTGTGTCAGGTACACACACTCGCGCGCACACACACACACACTCAAAGTTGGTTCAATTGTGATGGTCACTGTTCTCCTCCAAGGTCTCTGTCTTTAGGATTACCACCTCAGTACAAGAAACAAAAAAAACTCAGAAACCCCATTGAACAGTATAACAGTTATATTAGGGCGCCCTACAGTTACAAAATAACCTGTAATCTGGTCTTTTATGGAAGTGGGAAAGTCTTCTTTATTTACTGTTCACAGGCTGTAACCTCCGGTGGAAAGTTCTGGTTCGTCAAATTCTGAACTTTGTTGTTGTTCTAGAACTCGGTTTTTGTGTGCACATCCTTTTTACAGATCTGGCTTGTTGATATGCAGACTGTTGATTCCTCAAGGCAGTTGGATGCACTCCAACTTTGTAGCAAACAACCCGCATTAGTCACCTTGTGTGAAATGCTTGTTTGGGACCCCAGAGACCACAAACGGGGGAGGGAGGGGGGTTAAACAGTATACTTTGAAAATACAAGAAATTGTGTAGAGAATAAACCAATAGTAAACATCCACAAGACCCCATTGGCACACTGAAGAAGAGAAAGCAACCTACAACAGTTTTCCATTTGTGAACAGGACAGTGCAGGCTCAGCTACCACATGCATAAAATAAAGATTGTAGTCCCCCCCACAGTGTGCCTATCAAACTGGACCACAAACACCTCAGTACATTCTGCAGACTTGCCCACTCTACCTACAGCTTCGAAAAAACACTTGGTCTTAAGAGCAAAATGTGCAGAGCAAGCTATGAGAAACCATGAAGTATTTGCCGCTGATATGCGAGTTCATAGAGGCAACCCACCTGATGGCCTGATCTGAGCATACGAAACCGAACGTAAAGAAGAAAAAGAAGTATACTTTGTTCACTAATCTGAGAAGTATAGAAGATGAGCTTCACCTTCATATTTTTCCCACAGCAAATGTGGGCCTCGTATCTCAGAAGAAGCTGCTGAAAAGCTCAAGAACAGATATGTCCTAATGAGGAACCATGCCAGTGAGTACGAGCGAGAAACAGGCAAAAGAATCACTATTCCCATTACTGTAAGGTAAGTTTTCCCTTTGGCAGCTTATTAAGTTATATGTTAACTGGCAAGGATGCTGAAATACTTTGAGTAGATTTTTAACTCCAGATTTTGCCCAGGAGTGTCGTTAGGAAACTAGTTGCTAAACACAACAAAGTATAGTACACCACTGACCAGGTAATAATTGGTTTTTCTTAACCATAGAATGTCATACATTTTCCAAGTCTTAATTTTTTTAAATTGAGCACCCCCCCCAACACCACTCCAGTTTTTGTGGCGTCAAATTTAACCCCAACAAAAATAAAAGGGCCCTTTTCCACACCTTTAGGGCTAGACCTATGTTTTATAGACCACATATGGTCTATATCATGCCAGTTACCTTGACTTCCCAGGACTACCTGGTACCCGCCCAACGCTGGGTGCCCAAGTAATTTTTGGGGAAATAATTAAAATTCCATCAAAACCTGAACACACGACACAACCTTCCGATCCTCAGGTGAGCGTTTAGCCGCTGTACCATGGCATCTTCCTTATTGTAGAAAAGAAACCAAAAATTCCTCTGGCGTGTTGTTAGGTTCTACCACACATAACATCTAACTCACTGGATAACTGAACAGGAAATAAAAACGGGTCCAGCATGCATTATTTATAAATAATAATATCACAGCTGACACCCCCCTCTCCCCCCCCCCCCCCCCCCCCAATTGTGCATAATTAAGAATTTGCTTGTTTTTCCTTCAGACAACTGGAGGCAATTATTCGTATTGCCGAGTCCCAGGCTAAGATGAGGCTGTCACCCTTCGCCACAGAGTCTGATGTAGATGAAGCACTTCGACTGTTTCAGGTGTCCACACTGGATGCTGCAACTTCAGGCAATTTAGCTGGTTAGTAACCACTTGATTAACTTCTTTCATCTCCTATTGTATCTAAGGCCCTATACAAATCAATCATACCCTGCTGGTAGTAACCTTTTGACTTCTGCTCTTCGACTCCTATTGGGGCTTAGGACCTAGCCAAACCATGCCAAGCTGGTAGGTGACCATTTGACTTTTTTTAATGCTCTTTTCTCCTATTGGAGCTTACTTAGGGCCCTATCCAAATCATCTCCTGCGGCTCCCTTCAAATACTTGTACTATTCATCTCTTGTCTCTAACTATACGATAACAAGTGCTTCTTATAGTCCATTTCATATGGGATTGTTTGTCATGTCAACATCTTTCCGTCTTGTGTACTACCAGTGATTTCTGGTATATATTTTGCTCCATGCCAAACAGCTTGTTCTTCCCTGGAGGCTTAAAAGACTGGGCTGTGGTCCCGTCGGAATTTCCGGGAAAATCCTTAAAATTTAAAAAAAAAAAAGAAAACCGTATTACACAGGTTACTAATACAATTTTTTAAGTGTTTCTCCCTTAATGGTATAAACATAAAGGGGTAATCAGTAAACACAAGCAAACGGAGGCATTAAATGGAATACATTATGGGGCGTAAAAAACTACATGTATTGTGTGACTCAGGCTGTGATTCCAATGACCTCTTACGGAGTATAACGGGAGCATTTTTCATCAACTTGGCTTTCAAAAAGCCCTTGATGTCATAAGGAAACACCCCTAAATGCTATTTTTAGTTACTATATTCATATCCTGGCTCACAGTGAACCAATGAAATGTAAATGCTTTTCAAGAATAGGTCACTACAGTAAAGGACCCTTTTCCAGGTCTTCAGGTGTATTTGGCATATAGGGAGAGACCTATATTTTACAGACCAATCGGTACTCATTAGGTGATGTGGTCAGCGCCATTACTTCCCAGGACTTTCACCTGAAGTGTGCCACAGCTGGAAGTGTCTTAGCTTTAACCTTCTCAGGGCACAAAGGTTAACATCTCCCTTGGTCTTCTTTGCTTCTATTCCCCCTCTGACTTTTCAGCTGTGATAACATATTCTGTGTTCTCCCTTATGTTGTGCCCAAAGAAAGTAGGCGCGGATGAATCATATTTATTAAGTTGCTTTTTTATAGAATTCATGAGAGAGAGAGAGAAAAAGAAAAAAGCGTAAGCTAGTGCAGTGAACCACTTGGTGTTTGGCTATGTCTTCTTTTTCTTCTTTGTTTTAATTTTGCAAAAGTCCTGGTTATTCGCCCACTCTGGACTTTAGTTTTGCATACACATCTGTTTTACAGATCTGGCCTATTTGTGTGCAACTGTTGGTTCCTTCCCTTAGGCAAGAGCGTTACAACTTCAACTGAAACAGACTTAATTAGTTGCCTTTTACAACATGCTTTTTTGGGGGCAGTGGGTCTGCTCTTGTTTCCCCCAGAATAGGGCCCCGGAACTCACATGGGCATGTTTTGGGTATTCATTTTCATCATCGTAATCATCAGATGCCCTGCCAACTGGCATCAGCGATCATGCTTCTCTATAATCCACGATCTCCTGCAGCATGTATCAGTTCGTGTGCTGACATACCTCCATGCCATGCAACAAGACTGTCAAGAATCTTCTGTTGTTGTCTTCCTCTGTCCCTCCTTCCACAGATCTTTTGAGTGGTTACACCATGTTCCATTTTCTCTCTTCTCAGAACATGGCTGAAAATTTATGAACGTCTCCTTCTGATGTCTAAGTTATCTTGGGGCTCTCGCCTCTTTCAAAACCTCTTAGTTTCTATTTTTTGGCTGTCCAAGGTATTTTAGGCATTCTTCTGTAAAACCTTCTGTAAAATTCAGTTTAGATTATGTTTTAACAAGCACCAATTAGATGGTAATTAGGTGAATATGCAGTAGCTGATCTTATTGAGTTGAATCATCATGGGCAATGCATACATCATTTAATATAGGTTTGGGTTGTTGCTTTCACCTCATCTTCCGTTTACATTAAATTATTACGGGTATAATGATTGTTAAAAGCTAATATGAATGCAAGTGGGTTTCTGAAGTGGTTCTAACATGTGAAAAAACAAATTCTGTTTTTATTAGGTGCTGAGGGATTTACAACAGAAGAGGATCAAGAGTTGTTGAGTAGGATTGAGAAGCAGGTGAAGCGAAGATTTGTGATAGGATCACAGGTGTCTGAACATGCCATCATTCAGGATTTCACTAGACAGGCAAGTGGTTTGTTTGTTTAATAAGGGGAAGGAGCTGTATTCGAAATTTCTAAACTTTTTTCTGTGACACAGAAATGGATTCTAATCAATCATTTGCACATTTCATTTAGCAGGAAGCATAAAGTTTCCTTCAGAGATGGATTGCAACTGCCTGAGAGGCAAGGAGCAACAGACTGCACACAAATAAGCCAGTAAAACGAACGTGCGTGCAAAGCTCAGGTCCTGGCTTAAAGCTAAAGCCCAAATGGAACAAACAAAACCAGTGCCCGGTGTACACAGCATATTGTATGATATTTAATATTTATCTGAACTAAAAAGACGACTAGTGTTTTAAAATGCCTGTGCATTACCAGGGTCTTCAGGAGAAACATTGAATGGTAACACTGCATGTCTTAAGAGGCATCAAAGGGTAGGGTTAGGCGTGGGGTTGGCTGCCTGGTCCTGTAAAATATAGCCACAAATACTGACCAAGAACAAGTCAGATAAAGGATGTCTTGCACTGGAACCCACAGATCAAAGAAATAAAGGAAAACCATAAAGAATTGTTGAGTGGAGGGGTGAGCTGATTGCAGTAGTATAGGATATAATGACCTTGGCATGTTTGAAGGTTGAATGTTAAATTAAGAATCGACATTACAGCACTCGGAGCACTTCCATAAGTGCTAAGTCCCCATCTTCAGCAGCAAGCGAAAGAGTTCCAATTCCGATGGTACCAGTAACCGTCTGATTGTATATCCGTCTCATCCTTTCCCTTGGTGTGTGAGCGTCGGCCAGATCACTTGTTAACTCCTCGCAGCACCAGTCTTCTTAGACCGTAATGATCTATCTGCGCCTTCGCACTGTTCACTCGCTCCCAAAAGGCCCTCACAATATCTAACTTGTCATACATCAATTCACCACCAAGTGGTGCAGAGCCAGCTAGTCTATCTCCCTGCACATTTCCCACCACACCGGCATGACCTAGAGAAAATGGCATGAGTTTGCTGAAGGTTTAACTTTTATTAGAAGCAGGCATTTGATGCCTTGCAACTTATATATAAATGCAGGTTTTGGTATGACAGATAGTTGAATTTAAAAAAAAAAAAACACAAAACATATCTCCTGGCTAAAAGAGACTGATTTATGCCAAATATGCCATGAATAAATTGTGCAATATATTGTTTGTACTGTCATTATTTAAATCACAGAAACATTGTTTTAAGTGTTGAATTTGGTTCATTGAACAGAAATATCCTGAAAGAGCAATCCACAAGGTCTTGTCATTGATGCTTCGCAGAGGAGAAATTCAACACAGAATGCAAAGGAAGGTTCTTTTCAGAGTGAAATAGATTGCAAGTTTACACTAGACATGCTGCAAGTTTACACTAGACATGCTGCAAGTTTACACTAGACATGCTGCAAGTTTACACTAGACATGCTGCAAGTTTACACTAGACATGCTGCAAGTTTACACTAGACATGCTGCAAGTTTACACTAGACATGCACAAGTCTATGGCTGGAGTTTGCATATAATGTTATTATCATTGAAACCAATTTTTAGAGGCTTTATTTTGTGAAGAGGCTTTAGTTAGTTCTTTTGCAGTTTAAGTTTTTCCATTGTCTGTTATGAAATTTTTTTAGTTAGTTCTTCGCAGTTTGTCTTATTTATTTTTTTCTTGTATCTGTTTGTGGTACATTATTTCTGGAAAGCATTCTAGTTTGAGATGCCCACCAGCCTTTGCTGCTATCATCAGCTTCATTTATTCTTCACGATTATAGGATAGGATTATTGTGTTTCTTTTATCTATTGGTTCTTATGTTACCTTTATGGTGGCTTGGAAAGAACAGTGATGGAGTGTGCAGTTTCTGGCCTCAAGAGCAAAATGTGCAGGGCAAACTATAAGGAACTGTGAAAGACCTGCAGCTCACATTTGATGTGAGTTCATAGAAGCAACCCACCCGATGGTCTGACCTGAGCATACGAAACCGAATGCAAAGAAGAAGAAGAAGATTACCCATAGGACTGGAGAAGGAGAGCCTTTCAGGTGTGCCATGACAAGAATGACGTTCTGTAAAGGACATGCAGATTGATGTGTTACTTTATTTCTTTACCAATAAACTTCTATCTTGTGCAGTGCATCATTTCCCCAGTATATTGTGAGCTGGTTTCTGTGTTGTTCAATAATATTTTAATTATCCTTTTCTTTCTCACTATTTCACATTTTTATTCTCTTCACATTTTTATTCTCTTATGGCCAACAGTTTATTCATTTTTATTTAACTCTGCAGTCCTGGAAAGCCCCTCTTGGGATTTTTCTGGTGCATATATTTTCCTGAAAAGATGAAGCTATCATCTTAAAAATATGAAAAAGAGGTTTTTTTTTTTTTAAATGTATTTTTTGACTGCCAGCTTCAGTACAACCACTGGATCTGATGGAGGTTTTTCACTTTCTTTCAAACATTATAAAAATATTCTCTCAAGGAAGTATTTTCTCAGTTTAAAATATTGCTAGAGCAGTGGCCTTCTCTAAAGGATTTTCATTTGAAGAGAAAATGTTTAAACCATCTTTGACAGTTTGGCATCCGGTTCACTACCCATCATTTGAAGAAGGGGGAAAAAAATCAGTCCTTTGAATAAATATAATTGTGAAAATGTTAGCTTTTTGAGAACAGAGACATGTCAAACCTCTAAATCAGTGGTGCCCAATTAGCTAAGGCCTGTGGAACTCTCTTGTTTCAAAAGGGTTGTTACAGACCTCATACTTAGAAAAAAAAATTTGTTATAATGAAGAACTTATACTGTGTAAATATTGAAATTGCAGAAATAGATTGCATACTAAAGGTTTAAAAATGAATAAACTCACTTAACTCCTTAAATATATTCCAGTTGCCACCAAGGACCCAGAGTAATTTCATCTAATTTTTCTCATGCATTGTTAAGTTTCTACATGTTATTCACAATATGATGGCGTTAATTTAACTTTCAATATTTTATTTGAAAGTACTGAATTCTTACTGTTAAGTTTTGCAACATTAAATGCAGTTAGAAATAAACTGCTTTTGCTGTGAATCAGTTGTGTTATAAGAAAGAGCAAGGTGACTTATGTACCTACATACACTTTAATAAAGAATGATAATTTTCAACATTACATATCTCTTCTGTAAGTCATTTCTTGTTGTCAAGAGTTTTGAATTTATTATTTTGGTACTAATCATGTGCTCTGCCCCCAAGCAAGTCTCAGGAAAAATCTCTAACAAGAACAAGAGTCAGAGCAAGGAGCTCTTTCACTTTATGTATGCAGAAATCAGTATTCGTCAAATATTTAGACGTGTGTTCCACAGATGGTTTTGCTAAAGAAGCGACATAGGAAAGTGGAAAATGTACATTACACACCCTACCAGCAACAGACACTCAGTAGTGTCATGGGACTCGATAGTTCATTTAAATAAACAAAGTATAAAGCTGTCATATTCACGAGAGCTGTTATGTGGTGGCTAGGCACTGGCCCACAGATCAGAAGGTCGTGTGTTCGGGTCCTGACTATTTAAAAAAATGACTGGTTCCCAGGTCGACCCAGCCTTGAGTGGGTACCAGGTACAAGTTCTAAGAAGCTAAGGTGGCTGGCAAGTTTAGATTAGTCTATATGTCTGAAGGTGTGAAAAATCCTTTACTCACTCACTTTACATATTCACAGCTCAAAATCAGCTGTCCAAACTATATCCCATGTTCTAAACAGCATGAAATAAAAGCATCACAATGTGGTCCGCAAGAACAGAGCTAATATCGCAGTGGATTCGAGCCCATATGGTATCCCTAAAAATGGAATGACAGATGAGCCCACGAAGGGAAACTCATGCAGCCCCAATTTTTTCGTAGCCCTAAAATGACAGACACTCTTAAAACAGTCTGTGAAGTTGAAACTGGAGAGAAGACCACAACAGTTACAGAACACCATATTCTAAAATGCAGGAAGAATTATTACATTTCTGTTTGTGTGATTACAGAAGAAGATATATTTCAAGGATATAAATAGAGTTGAGAACTTGGTGACAGCTGGCAAGATTGGTAGGAGGGCAAGGGGAAAGCAAAGAAATAAATACCTTGATACTCAACCACATGACAAGAACACTGATTTGATCATGACTCTGTTGATCATGTAGAAAGGTGAATTGCGACCACTTATGCCTATCGGCATGGCACATGGTGAAAATATTTCCAGTGGGAAGGAAGAGGCGAGTGAATTGACAGGTGGGCCCACATTTCCCGGTCTCTATGCAGAACAACTAACAGTAGCTCCGGCACGATCCCAGGGATATCTGTAAAAATTGCACTCCTGAACCTAAGATACAGCTGTGAAACAAACCTGTGAGGCAAGATTTTGATAGGACAAAAGTTCTTTTATAAGTGTGCCTAATGTAAATCACCTTTAAGAGGATTGAAAAGAAACTATAGAGTTTGAATTACAAGAAGTACAAGCAGGTTTTAGACATGGTAGAGGAACACAGGATCATATTTTCACCATGAGAATCATTCTTGAGAAGTTCCACAGGTTACAACAAGGATTTTGACTGTTCAGTACTAAAAACTGTCATATACTGAGAATAATGCATAGGATTCCCCACACATTTGGTACATCTAATGGAATCTCTTTACCATGAACAACAAGCAGCAGAGTAGCTGGTGAAAGAACGGACTGGTTTAGGTGTAGAGAGGAGCAAGACGGAGCCACATCCTCTCTCCATCCCTTTTTAATACATATGCTGAAAAAATGAGAAATGCAGTCAGTAAAGAGGCCTGTGACAGCTTAAACCCATTCAAAATTGGAGGTAGAGCTATGCCAGAACTCAGATATGCAGACAACACAGTTCTCTTTTCCATCAGGTGCCTTGCCAACTGGCGTAGGCGATCATGCCTCTCCATAATCTGCGATCTCCTGCAGCATGTATCAGTTTGTGTGTCGACACACCTCCATACCATGCAACAAGACTGTCAAGTATCTTCTCTCGTTGTCTTCCCCTATAGATCTTTCAGTGGTAACAAAATGTTCTGTTTTCCCTCTTCTCATAACATGGCTGAAAAATGATGACTGTCTCCTTCTAATGTCTGTGATAAGTTGTCTTTGGGCTCCTGCCTCTTTCAAATCCTCTTTTTGGCTGTCCAAGGTATTCTAAGCATTCTTCTGTAAAACTAAATCTCTGAGGCGCAAGAGTGGACATGGTTTTGAAAAAAATTATTTTGACTATCAAACAGCATAGTGAAAAAAATCCATTTCTGAATTTAAAAAAAGTTAAAATAATGTCTACAATGAATACCACACACCAGCCATGTATTGAAACTGATAATGAAGAAATGTAAAACGTCACAAGTTTGAAATAATTAAGGCTGAGTAAAGAACAACAGTGTTGACTGTCAGAAAAAAGACTTGCTTTAGCAATTCAGAGAACCTACGGCATAGCATAGCACCTGCAAGCAAGTTAAAGTGACATTTTTTAGATCATGCATCTTTCCCGAGGCAACTTATGGATATGAGTTGACTCTCACTCAGTCTCGAAGAAGAAAATCACAGCTTTTCAATGAAATGCTACAGAAGGATTCTTAAAATACCATGGACCAAGAAGAAGAAAAATGCCGACATCCTGCATGACCTGAACATCAAGAAGAACTGGCTCACAAACAGCATCCTGTGCTGAAAGCTGTGGTGTTTTGGATATATCAAGTACCATTGTGGTTTGGAGAGGAGGGAGCAGTTTCAGAGGCTAACCTATGCACAGGTAGATCCAGGACTGAAAGCACACAGGGCTGGAGAGTTGGCTAGAGAGCGAGACCTTTAGGTGTGCCATGAAGGGAGCAGTATTCTGTAAAGGTCCTGATTGATGAAGATGAATATAAGTAAATGACGAAAAAATGTTGTGAATGTATAGCTAATTAAAGTACATAAACAAAACAAAGAACACAAAGATTCACTGACTGACTTTCTACCCCACCAGGACATCACACAAGCGATAAACACTTGATGACACAATGTGCCACCATGTGGATGAGGATCACCGTGGAGAAGTCCCAGAAACCGCGTTCAGCCATTAGGCCATATTTATGGCCTGCCTATATTGCGGCCCCTGTCAAGAGCCAGGGTTTGGATTCAAATAATGAAAAATTTGATCCTAAAAAGGACAGTGGAAATAGCAGAGTAATGAAAACAAAAAGATTTATCAACCAATAAATAACTGGCAACTTAGAAGAAAGGCAAGATGGACATAGAAGGTCAGACAATTAAGTAATGAGACTAATTCCATAAAAATTGAAATAATCAACAGTTGAAGATATAACATGTATTTTATTCAAAGTAA